CTCATCCATCTAATCTAGCCAATCTACTCTACCCAATCTATCTAATCTATCTAATCTACCAAACCGATCTACTTTACCTAATCCATCTAATCTATCTAACCTATCTAATCTATCTATAATCAATCCATCCATCCATCTGTCTATCTAGCTATCTATCTATCCATCGATTGATCCATAGATCGATCGATCTGTCCATCTTTCTAGGCTGATCTTTCTAAACCCAACTTGACAATCAATCGATCAATCAGGTCTACCAATCTATCTACCTATCTTGCTTTCCACCTATCTAATCTGATTAATCGTCCTAATCTGTTGATCAATCTAACTACCAATCCTACCTCATGTAGCTAACCTGCCTAATCGATCTAATCTTTCTAACCCACCTACTCCACCTAATCTATCTAATCTATCCAGCCACCCTATACTCTATATAATCGACCTAATCTATCTAGCGTACCTAATCAAGCTAATCTGGCTAGTCTAGCTGATTTATCGATCTAGACATCTTTCTTCTCTATTCGTCAAATGATTCTATTTCTACCTCTTTTTCTATGCCTATTTCATTCTTATGCATCCAGCCGTATTCTATTCTAGTCTGTTCTATGCTGCTCTATTTTGTTCTACTCTATATCCATCAAACCCGCCTAGTCGATCTAATCTACCTCATCTAACCTATCTACTCTATCAAATCGATCTCATCTATCTACCCGATCAAATCTATCTATTCCATCCGGTCAATCTAGTCTACATAATCTTTCTAATCTTTTCAATCTATCTTCTCTATCTAATCTATCGCACCTATCTATCCACCTATCCATCTATCCGCCTATCCGCCTACCCACCTATCCTATCTATCTATCTATCTGTCTATCTATCTATCTATCTATCTATCCAACCATCCATCCATCCATCCATCCATCTTTCCACCTATCCACCTATCCATCTACCCACTTATCCACCTATCCATCTATCCACCTATCCATCTATCCGTCTATCATCCTATCTATCTATCTATCTATCTATCTATCTATCTATCCATCTATCTACCTATCTACCTATCTACCATTCTCCCTATCTACCTACCTGTCTACGCATCTATCTATCTATCCGTCCATCGATCCAAACATCTATCTTCTATCTAGTTATCCGTCAATCTATCAATCTATCTATCCATCTATCTATCCATCTATCCATCTATCCATCTATCCATCTATCTAATCTGATCTAATCTAATCTAATCTGATCTATTCTATTCTATCTATCTATCTATCCATCCATCCATCCATCCATCTATCTATCTATCTATCTTATCTATCTCATCGATCTTATCGATCTTATCGATCTTACCTATCTTACCTATCTTATCTATCTTATCTATCTTATCTATCTTATATATCTTATCTATCTTTTTTATCTTATCTATCTTGTCTGTCTTATCTATCTTTTCTGTCCTCTCTGTCTATCTATCTTTCTATCGTTCTACCTATCTATCTCTATCTACCTATCTAATCTATCTTATCTATCTGCTGCATCTTATCTATCGTATCTATCGTATCTATCGTATCTATCGTATCTATCTTATCTATCTTATCTATCTTGTCTATTTTATCTATCTTATCTATCTTATCTATCTTATCTATCTTATCTATCTTATCTATCTTATCTATCTATCTATCTATCTATCTATCTATCTATCTATCTACCTACCTATCTATCATATCTATCTATCATATCTATCTACCTACCTATCTATCATATCTATCTTATGTATCTTATCTATCTTATCTATCTTATCTATCTTGTCTATCTTATCTATCTTATCTATCTTATCTATCTATCTATATATCTATCTATCTATCTATCTATCTAGCTAGCTATCTAGCTATCTAGCTATCTATCTAGCTATCTATCTATCTATCTAGCTATCTACCTAGCTATCTATCTATCTATATGTCTGTCTATCTATCTATCTATCTACCTATCTATCTATCCATCTATCTATCTATCTATCTATAAAATCTATCTATCTATCTTACTATCTTACCTATCTTACCTATCTTACCTATCTTATCTATCTTATCTGTCTTATCTATCTTATATATCTTATCTATCTTTTCTATCTTATCTATCTTGTCTGTCTTGTCTGTCTTATCTATCTTATCTGTTCTCTCTATCTATCTATCTTTCTATCTTTCTACCTATCTATCTATCTACCTATCTAATCTATCGTATCTATCTTACCTATCCATTTATCTACTTATTTTATCTACGTCAGATGCTTACGTGATATGTTGCGATCAGCACATATACACAATCACGTAGTTGAGTCAACTCGCCTCCATAGCAAGAGCTGCTTCAACTGCACCAAGCAACGGCATGATGTGTTCTGCTATGTTTGTCTTGGCTGGATCAATACAGCCATTTGAATTCGGGCATGTGGGGAAAGGCTGTCGAAATAAATTGTGGCCGTGTGGCCAGCGTGTGGCCGTGTGGCCAGCGTGTGGCCACCGGGTGGCCGGGTGGCCACCGGGTGGCCGGGTGGCCGGGTGGTGGCCGGGTGGAGTGGCCGGTCGGGTGGCCGGGTGGCCGGGTGGGGCCGGGTGGCGGGTTGGCGGGTGGGCCGGGTGGGCCGGGTGGGAGGGTGGCCGGGGGTGGCCGGGTGGCAGGGGGCCGGGGGGCCGGGTGGCCGGGTGGCCGGGTGGCCGGGTGCCGGGTGGGCCGGGTGGCCGCGTGGGCCGGGTGGGTCCGCGTGGCCGGGTGGGGCCGGGTGGGCCGGGTGGCCGGGTGGCCGGGTGGCCGGGCCGTGGCCGGGATGGCCGGCAACTAAAAAAGGCTATTGTGCATATGGGGTGGAAGCCCCGGTCATAGATCAACCGTGGTGGACTTGGGGTGCAGTTGGGTTTATGAACCGGCATCACCAAGGAAATAACCTCCATAGGTTGGGATATTAATATTTAACCCCTACAACTATGCTTACATAACAAAAAACGTTAGTGGGACTGCGCACAAGCCGGGTTGACATTAAGCTACGTACATCATTTTACACCTATTCATTCAGTGGCCATTTCAGGAACCTAAATTGGAGGTACCTACTATATATAAGGCCTATTTTTCAGGCCTAAATTTCAGAGAATATCCCCTCAAAATATGGTCTTCTATGGTACTAGCGTACCTCCATTTTAGGATCCTGAAATTCCCATTGATGTTAGTTGGTTTATAAACCCCATTAAAACTATAGATACTATAAATATATAACCTATAAACATCTATAAACCATAGTTATTGGAGTTTCTCGTGATCATTGAAATACCCAGCGGTGAACCGGCAACCGGTGGATTCTCCGGGATCCCAGTCAGCCATGGCCATGGATCCTGGCTGCGGGATCTTGTGATGTTGCTGTGACGTCCCAATCTGAAAATTGGGTACCCTAAATCCGAAGATCTATCCCATGAAATCCATGTTTATAATATGGGTGAAGTCACCAGCAAAAAATTCATGAAATTCAAAACATACGCTTATAATATATATATATGTGTGTAATAGATATAATCATATATATATATATAAATACAATACATAAATATACATATATAATATATAGATGTATATTTAATATATACATACATCATTATTTATCCCCAAAAATCCCATGTTGAGTCACCAGTCACCACCAAAATCGCGCTTGGGACCCTCCAGCAACCCAGTTGCCCTGGCCTTCTGCTGATCTGGCGTCATGACGCGTGCTTCTTCTTGCACCTTTCTCAGTTTCCCAATGTCCTCGCCATGCAGGCGGTTCCCCTCTGGAAAATCAAGCAGTCGTGGTTAGGAAGTCGATTCAACCAGCCTCTATAACTGGGATGTCTTGGGTTCCAATTCTGACTATAAGTTACTTAGCTAATTTGGCAACATCTGGGTTTCCTAATCTTGGACACCCTAAACCCACACTCTGCCCACGCTCAGTTCCACATCTTTCCACCCTTAAAAAAGTGTCGCCATTCCCAAGGTTTGTCCAAATAGATTTGTCCCCAAAACAAGGTCACCCCCAAAATTGCCATCTGTCATTACCATTCATTACCTAGTAATCGGTTGGATTCTGTGTTTTCTTTTAGATACCTTGCCCGATTTATCACTTGCACCAGAATTGCAAAAGATTTACTACATAAATGTCCATCTGGTAATCAAACGTGGCAGTGGAAACCCCCTCTTTATGGAGGTTTATAGATGGGAAAATTCTCGAATTAAATGGGTGATGTTGCATTGCCACGGAGTTGGCGCCCAGCCAAGTTCTGAACACGGTGTTTCAACCACTATTTGACTGGGATAATTTTGGATAAATTGGGGGTTGCTATGAGGCAGAATAGGCATTCAAAATCATTCCGAACATGTTCAAGAAGTAAATCATCTTGAAATTGGTATTCTTATGTAATTTCCATTGCTATATATTAAATGAATTTGTTTGAAAATAAGGCGCCCGTTTCCATTCACTCGTTGACCATCTCATGTTCCCTCTTGTTTCATTGTCATTTGGGGTGCGTACCCCATTGTCAGACACGCCTAAATTGGATATAGTTGGTCACTTACATTCCATTACATCCCTTGTTTAGTGGTTTAATCACTAGTATACCCAAAGTATATATATATTATAATGTTGCCATGTTTGTTTCTAAAATCTTATGTATTTTCCATGGCTATGTGAAATTACCAGGTAGTAGATTACACAAGGTTAACCCAGGTGAGCGATTAAAAATTCGCAGTTTTCCCATCTCATTATACTAGTTGGTTGACAGGTTTCCCTACAACTGGTGAGTATAACTTATCATATTAATCTATCAACCAGATCAACCCATATTATCCTATAACCTCTACTACCCTCTAATATATATATATATGTATAGTTGTGTATATATATCTCTATATCTATATATATAAATATATATATATATATATATATATATATTGACCTATGTTAACCAATCAACCAGGGTATAACTTTTAGTGGCTCAGGTAGCTAGCTCTAGCTGTGCCTTGATACCGGCGTCTTGCGCAGCATCCACCACCAACTTCACACCGTCGAAACTGGTCTCAGTGCGGCGTTTCGCCAATTCATGGCCGGCTCGATGGCGAAACATTATAGGAAAACATGGGATTGAATGGGATTTAATTGCCATATGGCAAAATACCATTTAGATATGGGCAAATACGGATTTAATGGAAGTTAATGGCGAAAACTTATAGGACAAACATGGGGATTTAGACCATAGAAACCAATATTTAATATGATATGAATGTGGCTGAAATGTGATATAACTGTGATATGCCTTGATGGCTTGTTGTTCCCCTGCCAAGTCGGTTTAACTTTGAGTCGTGGGACGGGTAATCTCATCGAATCCCAAAAGGTTCAAAATCCAAGAGTCTACCCTCTGCTCAATCAACATAAACCCCGAAAATAGCCTATTTGTATTGGAAACTCTTCTGACCAACCCCAATCTGGCAGGGTCTATGCTGATTTACAGGACGGTAAGTGTATGGCTTGCATCCAGCCATGCATGAAGGACATCTGGAACTTTGATAAACCTTGGAAATTTGGGGGTTCAGATTTTGTGGCAACCCCGCACCCTGATAGGCGAGCTTAGTAACCCCCCTTGGCAGTTTGTTCATCCCCTTCAAAAAGGCATTATTTTTTATCAATGGCCATTTCAGGAACCTAAATTGGAGGTACCTACCATATATATATATATGTATATATAAGTTAATAAGGCCTATGTAAGGGAATATCCCCACAAAATATGGCCTTATATATGGTACAGTACCTCCATTTTAGGATCCTGGAGATCTCCCATTGATTTTATCGAGGAATATAAGATATAGGGTATCTATGGCATGAGCATCCCCTAGCCCATTCCCTATGAATGGACAATCCCAGTTTTGTCCCACAATTCCCCTATTTTTTTCCATGATCATCCCCAAATTACCCATATAATTATTGTTTCAATTTTGTCATTATGGGTTCATAGTAACTAATAATGATTTGATAACTATTTAAGTCAACATATTTAGATTGTACATCAGTGGTAGTAGTAGTGCATCACGAAACATCAGCATCACTTGAACTTAAACAATTAAGTACTGTATACTGTATTTATTTACCTCTGCGACAAATGCGGGGTTGACCGGATAAAAATGGTTACCACTTGTCACCTCATCACTGGTTAGCATTACCTATAATCACTCGTATAGGCCTGTAAGTACTAATTACTACCTGCTATGCAATTGTAGCTAGTCCTAATAATTGATCATGAATGATCACCCAATCAAACTACCAATAATTTCCCTATACTGAACTAGTAGTGACTATTTAATTAACTCATATCAGTTACAACTCCCCGTTATCCTATTTAATGTCAACCCCGGATTAATAAACCATTGTTTATTAATTAGGGGGGTACTCCCCCAATAGTCATAATGTGATACTTAAATGGTACCCCCCCAATTAAACGGCCGTTTGGGGTTTATTAATCCAGGGTTGATATTAATCAATTTTAAACCTTAACTCACCACATTTTGCTCCACCACGGTACCGTGGTGGAGCTGTGCCCTTCCGCCTCTTGCGCTGCCGCGGCAGCGGCAGAGATCACCTAGCGCGGGTGGGTTTTCAGGGTTGATCCTATGGAAAGATCCACCATTTTACAGCTGGGTAAATCCACTCTTTCGACTGGGCCATGGCTTCAATAGCGAACTGTAACAAATTACCAGAGGGTATCTTAAGGTTTGATGATTTTATGGTGATTTATGTTGATTTGACATAGGCTAAACACCAAATTGTGGATAAGATATATATAAGATTCCGGAAAACAACTAAAGTTCCAGAAGTGTTCGAATTCATCAAATAACAAATCTCTCTGGATTCTTCAGGGATTGACTGATAAATGTGTTCATTTGCTTGAGTTATGTGTTTATTCAATAGGTTTGTCCACGTAGGCCAATTTTATGTAGGTACCAGTATATGTAGGTCTGTTTCTCATAAATGGGGATGGGTCAAAATGTCAGGCTTTACAAACCAAACGTGTTGATCATGTTTCAATTTGGAGTGCACAATTTCGCTCAATTTCGACCCATACCCAGAGGAAGGGTCACAGCATTTCAACCTGTTTGCGCCGCTAGAGGATCAGTCATTCCTTGAGGTATGCCAACTGTTGAGTGACGGTTCATGTGGTGGATTGCTGAAAGTCTTAGTGATCATTGTAGTCGCGGCAAAGTCGCTGATAGCACCATCCACCCTACTCCACATGACTGATTAGTCAGGTCATACCAGTGAAATTTTCCAATCTTAGCGTTCATCTATGGGATTTGCATCCTTCTGAAGCCGCTAGAACTCAAATGTCTATAACCTCCGATAAACTAACTTAATCATGGAAAATCAACATTTTTAATGGGTAAATCCACTATAAATGGCCATGTTCAATAGCTTTTTGTATGTTTACCAGAGGGTATCTCCATTCAGAATGCTTCACATGCCCGATATGGACTCCGGTCTTCATACGGAATACGCCATCCTGGCTCCCCATCCTAGTTGGCCAACCAATCCCATCAAAGGAAGGATTGCTGATGGACATGGGAAGATAGAAGCAACCAAGAGATCGCCATCTCTATGTATATATATATATGTATATATATATGTGTGTGTGTGTATGTATATGTATATATATATGTGTGTGTATATATATATACACCATCTATGGCACTCACATCGCCGGACTGTAACAGTCTCGCTGTCATGACCCCCCGCATATTGCAGAGATCAGACAATTGGCTATTGCTTTGAATGCCTGTCGGGTCCGTGCCATATATATATATATATATATCCATCTATGGCACAAGATTAAGTGGTACGAAAGTATCCATCCAGTTGGTTTCCCCCAGCTCACCAGTCATATTGATCCTCATGTCAAATTATTCTTAAGCGCACTCTGATCCTGAACTCCCCACATACTTGTTGGACTTTGGATACTTAAACCCTTGTCTCTAATACTAATTCCCCATGAAATATATAGATATAATTTAATTATATATATATATATACATATGATGTAAATACATATGTCAATATATATATATACATATGATATAATATATGTACATATATACATATATATATATACAATCATACAGTGTACAGCTGGATTGGGAGTATCCTTGCTATTTGCATCTCTTCACCCAGGCGGTGAAATTCTTCTGATTCCGCCTGAAGCTTCGTCTGAGGATCCACATCCAGGCTGGCCACCGCCTACGATTCGTGGGAGCCACCAACGTATGGATTAGATGATCGTTGTTGAGATATACTACTAAAAATGTATATGCATATGTGTATGTATATATATATATACATTTATTTATTTATAACACACATATATATATAGTATATGTATATATATATATATATGAAAATATACTATATATATATCATGTCATAAATAGAATGAACATGATGTTTTTGTTTGCTGTTCCAGTGAAGTTTTTGTGGAGATATATCACCATTGGACCATTGTTACGACGGCTATACCAAATCATGGACACGCGCGGATTCAGAAACTAGAAAAGCGTGATTCGGACACTGGTGTGAGCGCTGCTTCGGAAACTGTGGTTTGGAAACTGGAAAGCTAGATATGATTTGAGGAAACTGGGCAAACAAGATTCGGACACTGGGAGGAACATGATTCGGAAACTAGGATGAGCGCCGGTCGGAAACTATGGTTCGGAAACTTGAAATTCGGAAACTGGAAAAAAACAGGATGCAGAAACGTGTGAAACGTGATTCGGAAACTGAAAGGGATGATTCAGAAACTAAAAAAACGTCGTTCGGAAACTGGAAGAAACAGGGAAACTAGCTGGTTGGTGGTATACCAACCCCTCTGAAATGAGTTCGTCAGTTGGGATGATGACATTCCCAACTGTTTCTGGAAAGTCATAATCCATTCCATGGTTCCAGTCACCACCAAGCAGCTAGAAACTAACCATGATTCGGAAACCTGAATACTAACCATGATTAACTAACCATTCGTTAACCATGATGTTTTTCCCAGCTATACTAACCAGCTGTACTAACCATGAGTCGGAGAAATGACGAATCTTGGTTCGGACATGGGAAAAAACATCATGTGGAACGGGCTGGAACGGGCTGGAACGGGCTGGATTGGGAGGACCCTGGCACAGCCGCAGCCGCTGACTGGATGCTTTCCAAGGCCTGGGCTTATCCCATGTTATGGTTGAACCGTTCAACCATGTTACATTGCCAAACTTAGATACCCTACAAAAAAATCTTAGCTGGTGAACGTAGATTACTAAATTACATCTGGTTGGTGGTGCAATTTCACCATCTTGAAAAATGATGGAGTTCGTCAATGGGAAGGATGACATCCCATATATGAAATGGAAAATAATCCATTCATGATTGAAACCACCACCAACCAAACATTTTTTTTTTCTAGCAAAAGATTCAGGAATACTGCGACAGGGGAAGCAAGGGACTAGTTACTAACCGTCCCAGGCTGGCCCCAGGTGATGGCCAGCAAACCCCATGAAATTCCATACGAATTTCTAGTGCAATCCCCAAAAAAACCTATGAAATCCCAGTAAAACCCCTCTATAATCCCATTATAAAACCATTAAATGCCATAAATGCCAGAATTACTTATGTCGTTATAGTCCTATATAATCCTATTGTAACTTCATTACAATCCCACCAAATTCCTATTGAACCTCATTAAACCCCTTTAGAATATCTTATAATCTCATTCCTGGAAATCCAATTGCGAATATTATAACTAATCCTATTAGAACAACATTTAATCCATATGAAATCCCATGAAATCCCATTGAATCACTATGAAATCCCATTAAAACCCCCTCTATAATCCCATTAAATAAATCCCCACCAAACCCTTCATTTTCCACGAGATTTTTCCATCTCCTTCCCATGTCATGGTTCCGTTTCCACCGCGCCTGTGCCACCTCTTCCCCCACCAGCTTCGCCGCCCCCGTGGCATTGTGATACGTGGGCTTGGAGTAGGTGGCACTGTCCGTGGTGGTGCTGAGCCTCGAGCGTCCCAAGACACTTCAGGGTGGAAATCCCTAGGGAAACGACCAGGAAATCCAGGAACGGAATGGAGGTTTGGGACAACTCAGATGCATATACCTTAAAACCTGCATTTATAGCGGATTGTCCTTCCATGATTAATAAGTTATATAGCTATATATATATAACTATACATATATATATATATACATACATACACATATATATATATATATATCGACTTAGCTCACTGGAACTTAGGCAATTTCCAGCTATAAAACCTCCATTTGTTACAAGGGATTTTCCCACACTGTTTTTTTCTGAGTTTCATGGTTTCGGTGATTGTGAAGGACTGAATCGGGTGACACTTCAGGGTACCCTTTGGTATTGGCCACTATAGATCATAGGAAAATCATGGGAAATCGTAGGAACATGTAGGAACACATTGGACAATCATGTGGAAATCCAGGAACTAAATGGAGGTTGTAATTGGCACATAATTTGTATAAATGTACTTATGCATGCATGCATGTAGGTAGGGATGGATGGATGTATGTACGTGCCCCACGTGTGCATATGCGACATAATAATAGTTAACCAAGGCACAAAAAATGGGGAATATGTTTTTTGATGAGATTTTACCAACAAACATGATGAGCTAATATAGTGACTGACTTTTAGTCGGAGATACTCTCCGGTAATTAAACGTGGCTAGCTGGCAAATCGTTTATCAATGGAGGCTTAATGGCGGAACCAATCTATGAATTGGTGATCGGCTTGATGACCAAACAATATACTTGTATACTTGGGGTACCTGGAATTACTAGCGATCAGGAAATTAAAATCTATGTCTACGTGGCCTAAATTTCAGGGAACATCACCATAATATATGGTCTCATGTGGTAAAGCACCTCAGTACCTCCATTTTGGAGTCCTGGAATTTGCATTCAACAATAAGAGAGTTGATCTGGTTGGTGGTATACCTACCATCTTGAAAAATATGAGTTCGTCAATGGGAACGATTATCCCATATATGAAATAGAAAATAAAATTCATGTTCCAAACAGGAGAGTTGATTTTAACCGTGTTCTCTTGCTAATCAAACTTGGCTTGCTGGAGATTTCTCCATCATTCAGTCCAATGATGTTCCATTCAAAAAACCTTCATCTTTAAGGGATTGAATCCACTGGTGTGATCCTGTCTGCTGTATCACCGTTTGCTTCCACATGAATATGACATGAATCTGTATATTCCCAGAGTTCACATGAAAACTCCATAGTTGAATATTGTCAACTCACCAGTTTTTTTTGAAGTCCATCTTTTTCCCCCGCTTTGGTGGCTCATCCCAATTAGTAAATGGCTGAAAATTCACCCCTCCATACGAGGTAACTAGGGTTATAACATGTTATTTCACCCTATTTCTAACTGGGGTAACCCTCTGGTAAACTAACAGTTTGCTAGTGAAAATGGCCATAGAAATAGTTGATTTACCTATTAAAAATGCTGATTTCCATAGTGTTTGGTATGTTTACCAGAGCGTAGCCATCAAGATCCTCCCCACCCTTGGGCTATAAAAAAAGCCAGGGAACACTGCTGCCTTCAGCAGCATCAGCAGCGCAGCCTGTTGCTGTGAGCTTTGGGTTTCCAGAACCGCGGCCTCAGCCAACCGCGGCCTGGGGTGGCCATGAAAAAACGCGGAAAAACTATAGGAAAAGATAGGGACATCCACTATAAATGGAGGTTTATAGCTTGAAATGGCCTACTTGGAAATGCAGTTCCAGTGAACTTTTTGTGGACATATAACTATAGTATATACAGTATACTATAGCTATAGGCTATAGGGATGATATCCCAACTTACGAAGGTTTATAACCATGGTTATACAGCTATACCCATTTGTAACCTCAACTGCGCCCCCAAGTAAGTGAAAAATCGAACCCAACAAAGCGTGCATCCAATGGTTACCCTCTGGTTATGTCAAACATAGCTATTGAAAATGGCCATGTATAGTGGATTTTCCCATCGAAAATGGTGATTTTCCATAGTTATGTTAGTTTACCAGAGGGTAGTCTGAATTTCTGGGGGTGTACTCTAGCCGTCGGACTAGTGACTAGAAGTAACACTTGGGATCTAGCAGTAAAAGTATGGCATGATCATTCTCGGAACAGGTGCCAAAAAAAGCAGAATTGAAGGAGCAGTGGTTGGGCTTCAAAGGACCAAAAGTCAATCCCAGAAAGAGTGGGATACTTTCCCCCAAATAATCCACCCAACAAATCTCCAAAGATTCACTCAAACAAACTTACCCTCCGGTAAACTAACATAACTATGGAAAATCACCATGTTTCATTGGAAAACTCACTATTTCAATGGCCATTTTCAATAGCTATTTTGACATAACCAGAGGGTTTTTGCATAAAAAATCCTCCTGAATCGAAGCAAAACCCAGAGTTGGATGGGAGGAATCTTGCAAACTCCAGTTGTCAACCCCGTATTTTCCCGACGAAGACAGCCCATAGCATATCATATGTCGCGGTTAGGCCCATTTTGAGTGGTGAAATATCAATGTTGCTTGGCCGAAAACCAAATGTTGGGCGATGTCTGTCTCAGCATAGCCCAAGATGAGCCAAAATGACCCGCGATCCAATATCTTCCTAAGTTTCATGTCCTTAAAATATCTCCTGAAAATATCCCAGATCCCGGAAAACTGAATTCCAGATGAGCCAAATGACATTTAACATGTCATACATGTCTACGTATAATTGGCAGGCTCTAAACCATTAGAAAAATATCCCCAGGCCCCTCCCATATCCGATGTTGATTCACATGCTTCGTCGAAGAGATACAAAGATGAGCCCAACATGACCCAAGATACAATACATATTATAAATTATAATTTATACATATCCCTAAGCTGCACATATGTAATTATATGTGTATATATATATACACCGTATACCCTCCGGTAATTTAACAGTTTGCTATTGAAAATGACCATTTATTATAGTGGATTTACCCATTAAAATCGTGATTTCTCATAGTTATGTTAGTTTACCCATTCAGTTCGTGGATTTACCCATTAATAGCATGGTGATTTCCCATCGTTTTTGTATGTTTACCAGGCCGGGTATATCCTGAAGATATCCAAAGATCCATCCCAGATCCCTTCAATCCAAGGATCCATCCGCGTCTGCATCTCCAAATCCAGTCCTGCCGCATCTGACGCCCTGAGCACCTCTGCAATCACCCCCGAAGGGCCTGCAGGAGATCGAAGGGTGCCCCAGGTGCCCCCGAAAGGTTCGCCATGGCGAAGGAGGCTATAGTTGTAGAAATATACCTGGCCAAGTACTGTAGTCCAAGTGGTCAGTCATGTATAGCTATATGGATATGTGATTGTGTATATATATAATTATATATAGTAAGTATAACAGTATAACTATAGTATATTGGACAAGTATATTGGCCAAGTGGTTAGATATATGGATATATGATGATCTATTTTAGGTATCGTTGACAAGTTGAACTAGGCTTTATGGCAAATATATCTATAATATAATAGACACTAAGAATGGGGGTGAAAAGCCACAGAACAACTGGCAGGCATCACCTTGTACCAGCAAAACATTACATATACATGTACATAATATATATATACATATAGGTATGGAAAACGCCATTTTTTTCATGGGTAAATGCTGGTAAATCAATATTAATCCATAGGAATTCAATAGATCACTATCTGGTTGGTTGTTTTAACCATCTTGAAAAATATGAGGTCGTCAATGGGAAGGATGACATCCCATATATGAAATGGAAAATAAAAAATGTTTGAAACCACCAACCTATATATATATATTTTTTTTAAACCCTCGGAAATCCATCATTTATACACGGTCGGTTGTGGCAAGAATACTTACATCCAAGATTAACCTATCACAACAAGGTTCACCAAGAGTTGTACCCTATCCACGTATTGCTGCAAAACTATCCAATTCAATGCCAATTTACCTACCCTTGTCCCCGCAATGTCTACTCTATACTCTATTCTTGATGCCATTCTCCCCCAGTGTTTTCGGTTCAAACCCGGTTCAATCCAATGCTGTGGTATCTTGTGATCATACTATCCTTTCTTACTGGTCAAAGATCCCAATTAATCAAAACCATTCACTTTTTTTTGGTTGCCAGTTGGGACGTTTAAGCAACAACCAACTTGTGTTTTTTTGCCAAATCACTCTGTTAGGGTCCAAACCGGCGTTTTCCCAATTCAACTGGAGTTGGTTTATCAAACCACGCTATAGCCAAATGTACCCCCTGGTAAACTAACATGGCTATGGAAAATGGCCCATTTATAGTGAATTTTCCCATGAAAAATGGTGATTTTCCATAGTTATGTAACAGTTTACCAGAGGGTAAATATTGCAGAGGTATTGTTTTGCAAAAACGTGGTGTTCCCTCAAGTTAACCCAATAATATACCATCCCCAAATAGTACTAGACCCGCGGTACCCTCTGGTAATCAATCATAGCAATGAAAACTCCCTTATTTATACTCTGGTTGGTGGTATGAACCTACCCCTCTTTAAAAAATGACTTCGTCAGTTGGGATAATTTTCCATTCCCAACTGTTTCTGGAAAGTCATTCAACATTCCATGGTTCCAAACCACCAACCAGATAGATATATATATATATCTCTCTTCCCAAGTTTTTCATCTTCAGCAACCAATCCCCCTAGAAATCCCCAGTGATTCAGGATATATGTTGATATATGTTGATGCTTCCCAATAAAAACTCCTTTCATAGTTGATGCGTAACTGCCACGTTTGATGACCACAAAACTATATCATCAGTATCGCAAACAGAATCACCGCATGAAATTCCCCATGGGATCGCCGCATCATTTTTGTTGGTGAAATTCCTATTGATTTGTTGGATAAACCACTATTAGAGTCACCATAAATCCCAAAAAAATCCCAAAAAAATCACCATGATCTTCCCAGGAAATCCCACGATTTTTCTTAGTTCAATTCCCATGAAATCGCACCAGACATCATCTAGAAATCGCTGATGTCATGGCATTTTCCATGTTTTTCCATGGGTTTTCTCATGTCATAGAATTGGATGATGGGAAAATGTTAACCGGAAAACCCTATATTTGATGGTAAAAACCGTGGTTTCCGGTTAAGATTTTCCCTTAAACCAATCCAATGATCATGGTTTTCCATTCCTCTTGTTGCTTCAACACCTTGACCCATCGTTGCGAGTCATCTCCCCATGCTACCTTCGGTCGTCAGCGAGGCCAGGCCCGCCGCCGCCGCCGCGGCGCCGGCTTGGGCCTTTATTTTGGTCATGTGGGGCTCCATAATTTGGTCATGACCATCACCATCATTTTCTGGTTGGTGGAGGGTATACCCTCTGGTAAACTAGTTGGCTTGCCATGTTTGATGAGCGGAGGGTATATCACTAATTGGTGGTTGAGCCACCCCCCTGAAGATGGTGATGTTCCATAGCTATGTTTGATTAGAGGGTATACCCTCTGGTAAACTGTTGCAGTTAGCGAACTGGAAGCCATGGCCCAGTCGAAATAGTGGATGTGCCCATGAAAATTGGTGATTTTCCATACTGGTTGGTGTTTTTTTACCATCTTTGAAACCACCAACCACTTTTCAATGGAATCCCATCAGTGTTTGAGACCATAAACTGGTTTATTATGGAATAAACATGTGACGGGAAATCATGAACATCACTATAAACTGGTTTTTGCTGAATTGTGGTACTGTGATGGGATTTTCTTGACAATACAGTAGGTTTCCCAATGGTAGTTGATATGGGGATGGGGTCATCATCTAAGCCCTATGAGACCACAGATTTTAAACTCAATTTTGACCCATACCCATATTGTTTAATCGTGATAATCTTGGGATAATAATGGGATAATGGATATTAATAGACACTGATTTTAGTATCATATTAGTCAAGGTTTTTGGGGATAAGGATATAGAAGGATATATTTAGGGTGGTATAACTACAGCTCACGGGATATAAGTGTTATTAATGATATACAATATGCAATGATTTAATGAAATTGTTGTTGAGACTACTATTCTAATAATCAATGGGGGCTTAAACATCAAGAACCTCTTACTTTTATGGGCATATCCATGGTCATAAACCCCATAGGTTGGGATATAAGATAATTATCTAAGCTCTATAACTATGGACAATGGACTATGGACTATGGATATATCTATCTATCGATCTATCGATCTATCTTTCTATCTGCTTATAACTGCAACTGCACCGCCAAGTGGACGAAAGCCTCATTTCCCCCATGGAAGTGGCACAATTGGGAGGCAAAAACCCCACCATTCTTCCAGTAACGTCGCGATGGTCGTTGTAGTTTCTCATATATGTGTCTGTGTGCGTGTGTAAATGTGTCTATAGAATTCTGATGCAAAAATATGCAAAAATAGCATAGCATGGCCATCTACGGTTTGTGGGGACATCCATGTGTTGCACATGTTAACATCCTCCATCACTCTGCCTGTTGCTCCACTGAAAATCCCGCGTCCGCAGAGACAGCGACGACTTTCTTCACCTGGAACTTCTGTTTCTCGAAATACGGTGAATCTTGGACTGAAGTCGGGACTTAGGGACCTAATGGGATCCAATAAAATATATACTCCCCGGTAAACTAACATAGCTATTGAAAATGGCACATTTATAGTTGATTTACCCATCTCAAATGGTGATTTTCCATAGTTGTGTAACAGTTTACCAGAGGGAAAAATCTGTTCCTGCGGGATGATATGATGTTGCTTCATTTCAGGTGACTTTGTTGATCTTTTTGGGGAATGATGTCGCCACATGAAATGCTATGTGTTAGTAGCTGATTGTAGTAATTCACGATGAGAAATAGCTGAAATAGAGTCATTTGGAGGGATTTGACATATATAAACCATCATTCCGGTGACGTCAGGTTGAGGTCACGATCAAGTTCATCGAAATATCTTCCACTGAACCATCATATTGCCCCCATTTGTAGGAGCCTTTTGGAGCCAGATTTTGGGACCTTGCTGGCTTGGAATCCTGCAATTAAAACTGCCTTCTGGGATCCTTGGGAAACAGCCCTTTTGGGCCAAATCCTGGCCAGATATGCATTTTGCTCGTGAATTCTCCGAGATCTTCCATTGATCTCCCGGATCCGGGAGATCCGTAGATCTCCCGGATCCGGATCCCTCGCCTTGATGGCCACATCCGTGCCGTCGCGCGCCAAGCTGGCGCTATTCCACATGGCCATGATGGCACCGTAGTACTTGCAATCCACCTAAGGTTGGGCTCGGCTCGGATCCCGGATGACCCGGTGCTGGCTGGTTTTAATGGGAAGGGGGGCTGAAAAAGGGAGGCTTCATGGTGTTTTAAGCTGGTTTTATTCATGTTTAATGAGCTTTTAAATGAGGCCTCATGTTTTTTTAAGGGTTTGATGGTGTTTCAAAAAGGGTTTGATGGGACTTTAATGGGGTTTAATGAGGTTTAGAGGGGCTTGATTGGGATTCATGGGGTTTAATGGCAATGTAATCAATAATTCTAATCTGGTTGGTGGTTTTAACCATCTTGAAAAATATGAGTTCGTCAATGGGAAGGATGACATCCCATATATGAAATGGACAAATAATCCAAATGTTCCAAACCACCAACCAGATATTTATACATATCCCCAAGTTGCACATATGTACATAATTATATGTATATATATATATGTGTGTGTGTGTCCTGAAGAAATCCCAGTAATGATGTTTAAATCGTATACTTCCTTGGGGCCCATTTTCTCTCTCTCTCTCTCTCTATCCCCATCAAGCATAACTGGTATAGTTTATGGTAGATATAACGAACTAGTATTCATGGGGTTTGGAAACCAACAAACATAACTCTGGGTAAATTATAATGTTTCACTAACCTGAATCTTGCGGCCATTTTGGGATGATTTCCCTTATTAATCATGATTCCAGGGCTCGGGAGAACAGTGAGGTCGTGATCAAATTGACCCAGCTTAACGTAAAGATATTTCTAAAGGCTCCATTTAAAAATGGTGATTCCCATTGGAAAACCATAGGAAAATGGTGATTTAATGGTGATTAATCCATAATTACCCAGTTTTTTTCTGTATGAACTCAGCGGTTTTCACATGTCTTCACCTTGCTGCCAGGCCGCAGCCTTCAGAGAGCTCTTGAGCCTCTGCAGAATCGGAGTTGACACTCCGGTCCCCTTGGCCTGGGCCATTTGGCTATTTACGGCCACCGGGGATGGCCCAAAAACTGGGCAAAACCCTGGGGAAAATGGGAAAAACACATGTTTTCAAAAAAAGCCCATAGGAATATGGAACATGATAGGGAAAATCAAAGGTTTATAGCCCCAAAACCATCAAAATCATAGGAATATGGAAAATGATAGGGAAAATCAAAGGTTTATAGCCCCAAAACCATGAAAATCATGGGGGAACCATGGGAAAATCAGAGGTTTATAGGCCAAACACAGGGGAAGTCATAGATAGAAACGTTGGAAACCTGTGAAGTATGGGGAAAACGTGCTTGAACTACCATCCTGGTGGCGCACTGAAGCCGGCATCTGGGGACACGCTGCAAAGGTTCAAGTGACCATATATTCTGGTTGGTGGTTTCAACCTGAAAAATATGAGTTTGTCAGTTGGGATGATGAAATTCCCAACTGAATGGAAAAATAAATTCATGTTCCAAACCACCAATCAGCATTTAACGACACATTTTGCCAAATGATTTACATACGAATGTTCCAGACTAAAACTCTGCTTCTTGCAGGGTTTCGGAATGATGAAAACAAAGCTAGGAAGTGCATCAACCTTCCAGGGGTTTTGCGGACATCTATTGGGACAGGGGATGCCCAAACGGATCCTAGGTGTCATGTCGTGTTTGAGTGGTGTGGAATGCACTCCTATCATGATTCTTGACAGTTTTGCAGATGTGCATATTTGCACATCATCTGAAGATATCTGAAGTGTTCTCGTTGTTGCTGTTCCATCACCTCTTGTTTCCAAAAAAACATGAGTCCAGGCGGGTTCAGTCGCAACGTGAGATTTGCCCAGATATTTGGTAGAAAGGGATCAGCCTGGTATCATGGTGAATCTTAGATGCCTATCAAAAAATCAAATCTTGCGCTGGTTAGTAATTTCATCACTGATAGCAAAAAATTAAAGTTACTATATAATTCCATCACCCTAATATTATGTGGAAATTCCCTACTAAACCATGGTTTCTAAGGGGTGTTTAATATTAGGGGGAAGGGATTAGTTCGCATCTAACCCAGGTTGACGCAGGTATCCTCATCCACTAGTCTTCGGGCTCTACAGGGCTTTGTCCAAGTCACTACTTCCGCGATAGCCTGTGAGGGGGGGAAAATGAGGCAGTCATTCAACATCTACTACCATCCATTATCCCATTACTATCCCAAATAATGGTAGTCTATATGGTTTGATAGGGATAATAGTGGGATAATCATAGGATATGAATGGATACTGATCTCAGTTTTATATTGATCAATGTGTTGGGGTAAGGATATATAGGGAATTGTTAAGGGGAAATGGGATAAAATGGGAGAATGATGATATACCCTCCGCTAATCAAACTTGGCAAGCTGGGAAATGCCCGAGAAATTAGGTGTGAGCTTGGCACATGAGCCTGCAAGGCACGTTCGTACAGACAGGGGAAAAATGAGGTTTGAATGGGAAAAACATCAAACTAAATGGTGAATTTCCCATTGCCATGGTTGATTACAGTAATAGAGGGTTCCTACAAATGTCGCTTTTGGCTGCAGAGGTACAATACATACCTGAACTACGGAGTGAGCTATTCAACTGTTTGGTTTACCCAGAATTATGGATATCACGTCTTGATAGATGACACCTTTCGCAAACATGCAATCATGTATGGTGAGGTCGTGTTGAGGTCGAGGATAATATATATTTTCAGATCACACAGCACTGGGGAACATACTGGATCCATCCCGTTCAATTCGGTGTTAAGATGTGTTAAGTGAAGGTTCCACCCAAAACAAGCAGGTCTACCAAGCAACAAATTCATGGGTCTACCAAGCAACAAATTCATGGGATGTTGACCAGCGAGAACGTCCAAAACAAAAAATGGCAACAATTGCTGGCATCCGAAAATGTAAAACATTTTTCCAAAAATAACCATACGTGGGAGAAAAAATCGCATGTTTTTCAAATTTGTCCATTTCGTGTCCGACTTGCTTTCCATGGTTGTTCCCAGTTTTACCATCGCCTTTTCCTATGGTTGTTCCCCGTTTTTTCATCGCTTTTCCCATGTGTTTTCCAGTGTTTTTCCATGGTTTTCCAATATTTCCTATATTTTTCCTATATTTTCCCCGAGTTTTCCGAGTCTTTCCGAATTTCCCATGTTTTTCCCATGTTTTTTCCATGAACTCCCCACGGCCCCAGCGCTTTTCCCACGTTTCCCCCCCGCCCGCCTCGGGCGACAGCGACCCCTCGGGCCGATCCGCGGCCGCCGCGCCGGCGGCGGCGGCGGAGGCCAGTTCTTCCGGCACCGGGAGCTGCGAATGCCTAAAGGCCGTCGCGGTGTGCACCTTGGGTGGTAGATATAACTCCAATTTCACTCGGGTTTATGGCAGATATATATCTATAGTATTCTAGAGTATTCATGGGGTTTATAAACCATTATAAACCAACAAACATACCCTCTGGTAAACTAAGAGTTTGCTATGGAAAATCTAATTTCACTACAATGTGGTGCCCCCCAAATGTTATAAATTGGTTTATAAACCCCATTAACTAATATTAACTATAGATATATCACCTATAAACCATAGTTACTGGAGTTATAAACCAACTGAACGCTATCTTGGGGGCCTCACATTGTAGGGTTTATGCAAGGTGGTGCCCCCGTTCGATAGCATTCAGTTGGTGAACATAACTCCAATAACTACAGGATGGGGCCCCCGTTGGATAGCGTAAAAAGTTGGTTTATAAATGGCTGAATTAACTATGGTTTATGGTAGATATAACGAACTAGATAACTATGGTATTCATGGGGTTTATAAACCAACTTATAACTAGGGGGGCCCCATCCTGTAGGGTTTATGGTAGTTATAAGTTATAACCATAGTTAGATGGGCTTATAAACCAACTTATAACGTTTGGGGGCCCCACAATTGCATGATTATTTAAGCAAGGTGGAGCCTGAGGGAGCTAAATCGCGACTGGGGGGGCACCACCGACTGCAGGATGGGTTAAACATGGTTAAACACTATCACATCCCATAAAATCACCATAAAATCTATATGAATCCAATCAAGAGTCCTGGGCGATTCCTGGGCTATTAATGGGATATTATATATATATGTGATATCTATATATCTATATGATATCTATATAATATATACACATATATATATGATATCTACATATGTATATATATATATAGATATTAATTTTACAGTGATTTTATTGGGATTTGATAGTGTTTTAATGGAATTAGAATGGGAGAATGGACCATTAATGGCAATATAGTGGATTTGATTGGATCGTAATGGGATTAGAATGGACTATTGATGTGAAAATCCACTGTAAATGGAGGTTGAAATGAGAAAATCCACTAGAAATCACGAAGTTAGTGAGTTTACCGGCCAAAAATTGTTATTCTAATGATGCTTCAATGGGATTTCAATGGTATGTTAAATAACTAAGTGCTCACAGTTTGGCATTTTGGTGAAAACGTAGAAATGGTAAATCATGGTAATTCAAACTGTTGGATTGCCGAATTGTTGACCCGCAAAAGGTTTCAGATTCTGTGCCAGTGGACTGGTTACAAAATCCGATAAACCAAACAGACGGTTACGAAAGCCAAAGAAAATAATGGGATGTTTACCATGCGCCTGTCGGCACCAGCCACTAAGCAGCAGTTTTTGATGTTTCCATAGCTATCACTATATATTGAATAGTAAAACAAGGTAAAATAATGACAAATACTGAACGTAAATATACATATGGCAGCATGTTGGTGATACTAAATGTTTCTGTAATTGACATTGCCAAATATATAGTGTGTCAAAACACCATGTTTCTGCAATTTGACCGCCAATGATCGCCATTCATCCTGCAGTTGTTTTTATATGTTGTTGTTTTTCCTTTATCTACAGTAGTTACCCAAGAAATACCCTGCACATCCCTGCACTCGTTTTCCCCATTCCTGTTTCGGTTGATGTGCCCTAGTTCTTCGTTCATATCTTCATATTGGGATAACAAAAATCCCAGGTGAACAAAAATTCAAAGCCTTACCAAGTTTCAGGTTCCATGTTCACCCCCAAACCGCTTGGATGTTGATGTAAATCTGTACTTTCTATTTACATCTATCTGGGTAAATTATAATAATTCACTAACCTGAATCTTGCGGCCATTTGGGGATGATTTCCCTTACTAACTATGATTTCCAGTGAGGGAGAACAGTGAGGTCGTCATAATTTACCCAGATCTATCTACCATCCGGCAATCAAAGGTCGCTGGAAAATCTCATTATATCCCAGTAGAATCCCACCACATCCCATGACATCCCATGACATTAAAACCCCAAAAATCCCCATGGAAAATCCCCATGACATCCCATGGTTTTAATGTCAACCCTGGATCAAAATCAACCCCGTTTGCGGCAGTTTAATTGGCAAGGTACCATTTAAGTATCAAATCACTACTGGAGGAGTACCCCCTAATTACCCTCTGGTAAACTAACATAGCTATTGAAAATAGCCCATTGATAGTTGATTTACCTATTTTAAATGGTGATTTTCCATAGTTTTTTGTATGTTTACCAGAGGGTAATAAACCATGGTTTATCAATCCGGGGTTGACATTAACGGTTTCCCCGTCGATCTGCCGGAGCAGCTCGGAGGCTTTCATCACCGCCTCTGCCACCCTCTGTGCCGCGGCTGGCGCTGCCGTGCTCGTGGCCGGCGGTGGGGGCACCTGCGGTGGGGGCTTCGAAAAAAACCAGGGGAAAATCCTGGTTTTAATGGAGTTTCACGGGAAAACCAAAGAAAAAATCACGAAAGAGTATGGATTTCATGGGATCTGAATGTCTTTGTTGATGGAATAAAAGCGTTATGTTTTTTTTTGGGGTTTTGTTTTTCTTTGTTTTTGGTGTGCTATTAGTTTTCCTTAATTTTCCAATAGTTTTCCCTGATTTTCCATTAGTTTTCCTTAATTTTCCAACCCAATCATAAACACCCTTTTGGGTGATGTCGAAAAAAACACCCACGTTTGGTAACATTGGAGATGGTTTATTATTGGGAATTACGACAATTTTCAGGGATAACGAATCATTACAGAATATGAGGATTATGTGGAAGAATGGCGAACTAGATGGAATCTCTAAATTACCTGGTATAAATGTTGATTTTAAGTTGGGGATTTTCATTTTAAGTGTGATTCTTTGGGGATGTAACTACAAAAGAATGCCATTTAGATGCGGATTTAACCATTCAACATCGAGATTAAATGGGAACGCATGGGATTTTATGATGATTCACAGGGAATTAACCAGCAAAAAATGTGATATGCGTATGGGTTAACCAGCCCAATGATTCGTTCACAAGGATAAATAAGTAATGGTTATTTTTCTTAATTAACCGGGCTATATACGAAATATTGAAAGGGCTATATATACCTAAATGGAACACTGATGGAACTATTTGAAGGGATGATGTAAGAACTGGGTTAGTCATGATACCCATACACGTTAGCATCATCAGAAGCAGGTCCTGGTTGGTGGTTGACCTACCCCGCTGAAAAATACGAGTTCGTCGGTTAGGATGATTATTCCCAACATATGGAAAGTCTAAGTATAAGCCCCATTAGTATCCCATTAGTGACTGGTTGGTGGTTTCAACCCCTCTGAAAAATATGAAAGTCAGTTGGGATTATTATTCCCAACATATGGAAAGTCATAAAACTCATGTTCCAAACCACCAACCAGGGTCAGTAGGCTCTATACTTACGTTACTTTATCTAAGTGGCTTGGTACATTCGTCAGTGGTTCATCTCAGTAGATAGATACGTGGCTCACCCGAGAAAGGATAGAAAAGTAACCCAAAAAGATAGGAACAAAACTTGCAACTATTTACACTATTGCAGTGAGGTTTGTTTTCGTCCTATTTTTTGTGGACTTTTTCCCCCGAAATACAGCTCAGCAACTCTAACAATGTAAGACTAGGTCATAATCCCCTTAACATTCCATTCACAATCCATTAATATCACATTAGTATCCCACTATAGGCCCTATCAATTAGTGGCAACATTCATTATCATGAATATCCCATTAGTATCCATTAAACTTCCATTATAAGCCCCAACCATCAAAGTCTAAGTATAAGCCCCATTAGTATCCCATTAGTGACTGGTTGGTGGTTTCAACCCCTCTGAAAAATATGAAAGTCAGTTGGGATTATTATTCCCAACATATGGAAAGTCATAAAACTCATGTTCCAAACCACCAACCAGGTGATTGGAAATCTCATTAACATTCCATGATTTTCCCTATTCGTGTTGGTAAAGATACCCTCACTCCATCGACACCCCATTAGAATGGTAATGTTCCATAAACCTTGGGTTGGAGAGTTTAATGGAATTTGAGATGTTTAAAGGGGGATGTTTTGAGATTTCTGTATTGCCCTCTGGTAAACTAACAGTTTGCTATGGAAAATCACCATGCTTTTAATGGGTAAATCCACTATTTCGACTGGGCCATTTTCAATAGCTTTTTGTATGTTTACCAGAGGGTAATTCTGGATGAATCACCATTGTCCTATGGTTTTCCTATGGATTTCCATATTAGTTTTTCCCTCTTAGCTTTTCCATGTTTTGCCCCCACTAAATCCATAGGACAACTCTCCAACTTACCGTTCTTTACCCATCACTCCATCGACGTCGACACGGCACCGTACTGGTGAAGGCCAAATGCACCGGGGCCGGCCTGGCGAGCCAACAATCATGGAGAGATGTTGGAAAGTCTGACAATTCGATGTTCAAAGAAATTCAAAGAACATAAGATTGAACATGACAAAAGAAATAGTTATATCTTAGGAAATTATCTGATAGTACAAAGAAATTATTTGTGTTTGGAAAGTCTGACAATCAATTCTATAACTATTATATAGTCACTTAATATAGTTATATTCACATGAGAAAAATAGAGCGTTAGGATTAATTAGTCACTTAAGATGTGAATGTTGATAGGAACATCACAGATACAATGGGGATAGAATAGCTACATGAGCAACAAAAATTACACGGACTAGTTGGAGGTTCATGATGTCAGGTAACAGCCAAACCATCAGGATTGATGGTTTGGAGAAAAAAAAACAAGTAGCAAATGATCAAGAACCTAGGGTAATAACTGCAGTACCCTCTGGTTATTTGTTACAGTTCGCCATGGTTAAGCCATGGCCCTAATCGAAATAGATAAATAGATGGTTTACGTTCTTATTAGCATGGCGATTTTCCATGGCGAACTGTTAGTCATAACCAGGGTGTAGTATTCCAACAGGCTTACTTCGTATGCTTGTTACTTACGATTCATGGGATGCACTTTCAATTTCTTTGGGGAAAACCACGAGGAATTTGGATGTTTATCTACCCACCAACAAGTGATGTTAAGGATGAACATTTCAAACAATGCTGTTTTTTTCATAATGGATGTGAGCCACTGAAAATTGTGTGAGGTTGTATGAACAGAAACTTGGATTTCGATTCGAATAAAATGGAACCCACAGCCCAGCCAACAAACAAGTGATGTCGTGGCTTAAATGGGGATTTCAGCAACAGAAAAGCGGATTCGAGAACCAAAGGCGGATAGATGAGAACCAATGCAACTGATTGGATTAATCACAGACCCACTATCATCATAAACATGGTTTGATTAAGCGCGTTTATAGCAAGATAAGCAGGATTTCAACCAATAAAATGAGTCCCAAAAAGCAATGATACGCTTAAGAATCTAGGTGGAAGCAACTATTAAAAAAAAAAAAAACATAATATGAGAACCAGCAGGGAAACAAAAAACAGACATGTAGGCCATCAGAAAGGTGACAAGTGATGGCACCAACAGAAGTGAAAACATCAGTCACAAACAGTTGATACAATTCTATACCCCTAATCATAAAATTGAACACTCCTGATATAAATGGTCCCAAATATATATGTGTAAATCCCCTGCCAAACCATAGAATTTTTCTGGGGTTGCCCTCAATGGATTGGTTTAAGTTTTTTTTTAAGGGGGAACCATGTTTTTACCCACTAAAATGCAGGGGGTTCCTGAAAATGCTCCCATCACCCAAGTCAACACGAAAAGCGAGTGACGAAAAAATCCTTGTCGAAAGTCCTAGGCTTTTGACTAAAACCATCTTCCAAGATCCATGACGAGGAAAATAATCCTATCCCCTCAATATGGAACGCCTTAAACACCAAGTAACGGCCTCCAAAATGAAGAGATCCCATATAATCTGAGACTATGGTTTCTTCTGTTTCCTGGGGAGGGTACCCTCCTCTGGTAATCAAAGATGCTGTGCGGGAAAATTCCCGAAAATTCATACAGTAGATGAATTTCCCAGACAACAATTCCATTCTTGCTTGATTACCAAACAGGAATATGTGGGTGTGTCTGAAAATGTGGTAGACCCCCATTTTCATAGGGGAAAATGATGATGAATCCGCAGTAATTTACCTCTGGTAATGACTAACAGTTTGCTATTGAACATACCCCAGTCGAAATAGTTGATTTATATACCTATTCAAAATGGTGATGTTCTATAGTTTTTTGTATGTTTATCAGATGGTAGTAGCCTATTTCCAGAGAAACTCATTTGAGGATGTCGCTTCTCCCCCTCTGGGCGTCCCAAACGTTGTGAGGTCTACAGCCTCGACCTAGTCATGCGATGATCCCCTACTTTGGGCAGGCCGGAGGTAATTGTCATGGGGTATAACATGGTATAACCATGGCTACCCTCTGGTAATTTAACATATATAACTATGGAAAATCACCATTTTTAATGGGAAAATCCACTATAAATGGCCATTTTCAATAGCTACGTTAAATTACCAGAGGGTATAAACCCCCATCAGTTGGGATATAAACCCCGCTCTAAACGTTTGTTTTTTTAGTATCCACTTATACCTGAACCACACTTCCAAATGAAAATATCCCTCTTCGTGTTTTTTACATGTGATAAATCATGTTGTATAAATCAATATCGAACCCCCAGACAACAGGGTTCGAAAATCATGGCAAGCTGGAAAAAAACCGAACTAAATGGAGATTTTATGAGTTTTTAATGGTAAAATGATCAATATAAATGAAAGGGGGGTTCCATTGCCACGTTTGATTATCAGAGGGTACTAAACCAAGTTGGTCAACAGGGGGCGCTACATGGCACCCACCCTGCAAAATGTCACAGCAATCATGCAGCGATAATGTGTAGGCCGGGTAACGCAACAAAATCATGAGATCATCAGCAACAGGGTTCAGGATTGAACCCACCAAACGTGGCGTTTTGTTTTACGTGCCATTCAAAAATCTTGACTTTTAGTTGGCCACTCGATGCTGGCCTATAAAAAATGCACCCAACAAAATGAGCCTTCAAATGCTTTCAACACGTGTCAGCCTATCCAATCGACCCCAATCCACTTTTTAAATGCACTTGATATGGATGCGTTCCTACGAATGGACCCAACTCCGTGGTTCCTTGGATCTGTTTTTTTTGCATCCAACCCCATTTGGACGCATACACTTGAGAAACGTTCAAAAACTTCAAAGCTTCTGTCATCCCTTTATCGCCTGTTGCTTAAGAATAAAACCATGGCCAATCAGCCAGATACCCTGCCAAAAAAAAATCTTAGCTGGTGAACGTAGATAATCCCGTTGATACACAAATTCTAAGGAATGAGTTTCTACCCAACCAGCCGATTGACCTTAGAAACGGTCCCCGCTGGCCCTCGGGGCACCTTGGCCGGGTGGGTCTCCGTGGCCCAGCGCGCTTCGGATCCCGAACTTCGCGAGGCCGCCTGTCGAAACGGCGGCAGGTGAAGCTGGACATCCAGCAACTTGGTGATGTCTGGTTGAGAGTTGGCCAATAAATGTTAATAATAATGGAATTACCATGGTTAATACTAATAATTACTGTTAATGGTTAATAATAGCGATTCTTACTACTAATACGAATTATCCATTTAGAGTGAATTAATGGTGTTTTCCATGGTTTTATAAGAGTTAACAATGGTTGATAATGGTGATTAATGATAGTTAATGGATATTAATGGTGATTAATCATTGCCAATCTTAGATACACAAAAAATGACAAATCCTCAGCTGGTGAACGTAGATAATCCCATACCAAAAGACTAAAGGACTAGTTTGTACCCATCCAGTTCGCTAACCTAGTTGTTAACATGGAACTCTAATTCAATGGTGTTTGGAACATGACCTTTGGACACAGGATATAGTACCAGTTTAAAGTTCCATGTTTCTTTTTCTCGGGGTGTAGGTCAATGGGTCATCGACATGAAAGAATCAAAACAACATCTTTTTAGCCGACGATTCACCAACAAGATGTGGGCTAATCCTGCGTAATCTTAGCTACTGAAGCCCCTGAAAAAAAGGGAAGTGAGCCCCACGGAAGGTTAGGACACATGGGAATGACATATGCAGGAATAGAGCCAGCATATAACTGGCGATTTGCAGAACCAACTTGACTAACAGCAAAACTGTTGACAACCAATCGAAATCAGCCTAGAACCAAACTGGGAATCATGATGAATCATGACAAAACACCAAGCTGGGTGGAGAACCGGCTGCTTTTGGATGGTTTTCGGAACGGGGATAGCTGGGCTGTGACATCAGCTAAGGTTTTTCAGTTCATCATGCAGCGTCAACGGTGGAACTCCACCATGATCCATGTACAGCACCGGTGAGTTGTCGCATGTGCTGTGTACAAATCAAACCCATCTGAACAGTGTTCAAGACCCTCTGTCATTCCATTGGTATCCCGGTATCCCCATTGTGGGCTTTCACAATCCCAACGGTAGTAAACCATTAGTGTATAACCCCCTATATTAAGTAGAATCGACCATCATTTATCAACTACATCCCCTTGTTTGATTGTTAAAGCCCCTTTGCAGTAAATGATGGTTACAACCCCAAGTATTGTTCTCACATTGTCATTTCAATACCAAAGGTGTCCTTTCTTGTGGTTAAAACTACCATGCTTCGTGGTTGAATGCCAACATCTGGATAAATCGTAATAATTCAGAAAGCGGAATTTAGGCCAGTTTTGGATATCTACCCAAATCATCCCAAATCCTAACCATCATTCCAATGACATCCACATTACTGTACATTCCATTACATCCAATATCCCATTATATTCCCCATTAAATATCATTAAATCATATCTCAACATGTTGCTGGTTAGATCCCCATATTCCCAGATGAACCCTTGATATCCCAACAATATCCCAAATATACGGTGTATACATATATATATATATATACACGCGTATAGTCGTGTTTTTCCATAATATCCGGTGTATCACTCCCAGGTGTCCATTAGAAGGAAATTAACATTCTGATTTCATATAAATACCGATCAACGTCCTCCTATGCCAGTAGCCAGAAAGGAATGCGGAGGCCAAACATTTTGGAAAAACGCCAGCCGAGCTGTCCACATCTCCAGCAGATCAGCCATTCCAGGCTCCAAGATTCTGACATAACTCATTTCTTACTGGTGCGTGCTAAACGTAGGGAATGGATGCGTTGCTGGGGGTTGCTGGAATGATTATTGATTGTTATTGATTGTTATTGTGGATCATTCCCTCATTCCCTACTAAGCACCAGTAAGATTTTCGGCATCAGCGGCTGATTCTCTCCTTCCTTGCCATCAACAGCGCGAATCTCCGCCCTTCACCAGCTCTTTGAATCCGGACATCTTGAAACCAGAAAACTGCGGACTGCGGGCTGCCGATATGGGAATTATTTTGTCGAGTTTTATTTTATGTAAACTATGTTGATTGACTATTGGGATCTGCTTGAAAAATTGCCTATGAATACTACTAGTCTACTAGTTATCTACTAGTTAGTTTTTCTGATTATTCTGATGCATAGTTGTAGAATCATAGTTTTTCTATTTTTCAATGCTACCAGTTTTACTACCAGTTTTTCGGGTTAGTGAAATCGTTGGGGTATGTGTTAAAACCCCAACTCCCCTTCTGTTCACCTCAACATTGGCTGGGATTAGTTGGGATGTTCTGAATCTCCCCTGCAGAATTTTATGCAAAATCATCTGGTTGGTGGTTGACCTACCCCTCTGAAAAATCTTACTCAGTTGGGATGATGACATTCCCAACTGGATGGAAAGTCATAAAATTCATGTTCCAAACCACCAACCAGTTTTCACTGTTACCTTGGGTTTGTTTGCTTTACGAACCGCAGAAAATAGAAAAACAATCTCTCCCAAAAAACATGTCTATAGTGAATTTTCCGCTGGGAAGTTCACAAAAAAACATCATAGATTCAGCAAATCCAAGATAGCTCATATGTTCCCAGCTATAAACCTCCCATTTATGGTGGATTTTCCATGGTTCTCCTATATTTTTCCAAGATTTGTCCTGCTCGAATTCCCCGCATCTGTCGGAACCTGCCTGTCCAGTGAGGTCCAAAAGCACGAAGGGTCCCACCATCAACCCCGCTGATCCACCATTGGGCAACGTCACGCTGTGCTTCACGCTGAGGTTACGCCAGGTCGATCCTGCCGATTTATCGCAGAAAAATCTGGGAAGATCATTGGATTCTTATTTGATCTATATGGGGTTCTTCACCGGCTTATATGAATTTCCATGTGGTATGGTTATAAATGTGTTATAACATAGAGATTAGCAGGTGTTTCCTACAAAGTGAGGCCCCAACCGTTTACAAAAGCATACAAAAGCGAAGTTGACGCACACAACTTGGTTAACTCGGGTTTAGGGGAACTTTAACGAATTAGTTTATGGGGTGAAACTAAACCAACTCATAACTGACTCGGCCACCTTGTGTGGGATTCATGTGGGGTTGTTATGGAGTTGTTTTCTGATTATGGAGAATTGTACGGTTGTTTTGGGGTGTGGGGGTGCCTTTTGATGCTATGGGATTATTTTGGGATCATATGCTATTTATGGAATTATGTTGATGTTATTATGGGGGTTGTGGTTGGATGATTACTAGCCCGCAAGTGGCTAGTAATTGTCATAAAAGCTCCATAGATTCCTGCACAAGGTATACCCCCCATCATTCCTGCACCATTTACCTCAAAATCATAAGATTGTATGAGACTATTGCGGGTTTTTCATTTTGGGTATTTTTTGGGGGGTAGCAAGGAGGAGAACTGAATCCACTGGTGTGTACTCATCTTGATCTTGGGCTTGGTGTTTCTACACTTATCCTCCTAGTATGGTTAATGGTAAGTAAAACCCATCAATAATGCTTAAGGGGATTAACCATCATATTAACCATCATATTAACCATCATATTAACCTATATATCAACCATGGTGACTAATATTAATACTGGTTATTATGTGGCTTAGTAATCTCATCTCCCCGAACCCAGATGATTAGATCCAATACTCAGGTCGGCAAGGCCTATGGCTCATGATAACACCAGCAATCTGCGACAGATTCTGAGATGTTAAAGCTACTCTCTGGTAATCAAACATGGTTTGCCAGAAAATCATAGAAAATCCTCATTTCGTTCCAGGATTTTCCTATTGAAACTTCCATTCATAGTGGATTTTCCTATGTATTCCCAGGATTTTCCCATAGTTTCTCCGATTTTCAGACACCTCCATATCTTTGATGGGGATTTCCCGGTCCGCCATTGCCTGGCACCCTCCCGTAATCAAACATGGCTGGGAAATAGCCCTACAAATGAAGCTTTTAATCGGAAAATAATCCATAAACATCCATAGATGGGAGTTCTCTATTGCCATGTTTGATTGCCGGGAGGTACATCACGGTACATCCTTGAAATTCTTCAAAAACAAAGTTGTTTGTTGCATAAGACTGTGTCCAAGTTCAGGGCGCCTCAAAGTTAAACACTGTTCAATGGGAATCTCAGGATCCTGAAATGGAGGTACTGTACTATATAAGGGCATATTTTCTAGGGATATTCCCTGAAATTTAGGCCTTATATAGGCCTTATATATGGTAGGTACCTCCAATGAATCGGATCCTGGAATTCCCATTGAACTGTTTGGATCAGAGATGATCAGAGTATAATCTGATTGGTGGTTTCAGCACATCGATAACAGTCCTTGGGTCTCATCCTCCCATTTTATGGTTAAACATGTAGGCAAACTTGAAACCACCAATGAAACCATAATGGAATATGACAATCAACGTTCAAATGATAATCTCCACTATATTGGGTAATATAACTGAACCTCTTATAACCTATCCTATAACTAATAACTAACATCTAATAACTAACTATAAAAGGGTAGTTGTTATATAAGATAACCTAGGTTCGTTATATAAACTCCTACTGTGGTTAAAAACAATAATAAACCATTCTAAATTCAGCATAAATGGGTGGTATAAACCATCAAGATAACCTACCCTATAACTAACATCAACCACCATTGATCAACGAGGACCCAGAAAAAACATCCGTCAGCCCACACAGGGCACCATCTGCTGAGCCGGCCATGGAGAAATCCACCGGGATCTCAGCGACGTTCACGGCGGCTCCACCACCATGAAACATGTTTTCGTGGGCCCATATGTGCATATAAAGAAATATGTAACATATGATATATATATATATATATTTATTTATTTATTTATTTATTGATTTATTTATATGTATGTTATCATATGTATATGTTATATGTTATATTTTTTTATGTTCATTATATATGCGACTTAATATATGTTATACTTGTTGTTAATATACGGTAG